GATGGGGCTAATTTTTTCCAATTTTCTAGGTGGCGCTAGCGTGCCATTTTGCCACGCCCATCGCGAAACCCACAACAAAATACGAAATTTTTCACCAGTCCTGACATGCGTGCCAAATTTGGTGAGTTTTTGAGCATGTTGCGGCCCGAAAATGGCGCTTACTTTGCAGAAAAAAGAAAAAAAGAAAAAAAAAAAAAGAAAAAAAATTAAAGCTGCAAGCCAGCGATGGGCGGGCCCTCGCACCTGTAGCACGTCGGGGTCTGAGGCGCCGCGTTTCATTTTCTGCAGCTCAGCCAGTGCGGCTGTGCATTTGCCACACTGCTTCGTTAAAGGCCACTTCCTGTTGCCAGCAGGTGGCGCTATGACTGTGGGTGAATGTCGGCATGTAGATTTGATCAGGGCGGGACTCTTGTCAAAGGTGTAAATTTCGTGCAGATCTGGGCATTTACAGCCAAGTTACTACAACTCCTGTTTCATGGCGAATCATCGACGGCACGGACACGCCATCGACGAAAACGCGCAGATAGCACAACTTTTCATCGTCAATGCCTTTAGAAGGCACAGCAGAAATTTGAAGGCGATCCGACTAAAGCCCTAGGAGGAGTTAGTTAAAGTACGTAATGAGTAAATCATCCAAAATGGCGGTAAATTAGAAATGGCTGACTCCTGTTGAGTTTAGGCATCGCTCCAAGAGACTTTTCTGTGCGTCTGGACATGGTAGATGTACCACAGAAATTTCGTACATGTCGGTCAAACATGCGACGGGGGCTGCTTCGTTAAATGTCACTTCCTCTTGCCACTAGGTGGCACTATGAATGTGGGTGAATGTCGGCATGTAGATTTGTTCAGGGCGGGACTCTTGTCAAATGTGTAAAATTTTGTGTAGATCTGGGCATTTACAGCCAAGTTACTACAACTTCCTGTTTCATGGCGAATCATCGACGCCACGGACACGCCCATCGACGAAAACGCGCAGATAGCACAACTTTACATCGTCAATGCCTTTAGAAGGTACAGCAGAAATTTGAAGTTGATCCGACTAAATCCCTAGGAGGAGTTCGTTAAAGTACGGAGTGTGTAAATCGTCCCAAATCGGTCGCTGAATTCAAAATGGCGGACTTCCTGTCGAGTTTAGGGTATGGGTTCTTGAGGCTTTTTTGTGCGTCTGGTCATGGTAGATGTACCACAGAAATTTCGTACATGTCGGTCAAACAAGCGGCGGGGGCTGCTTCGTTAAAGGTCACTTCCTGTTGCCACTAGGTGGCGCTATGAATGTGGGTGAATGTCGGCATGTAGATTTGTTCAGGGCGGGACTCTTGTCAAATGTGTAAAATTTCGTGTAGATCTGGGCATTTACAGCCAAGTTACTACAACTTCCTGTTTCATGGCGAATCATCGACGCCACGGACACGCCCATCGACGAAAACGCGCAGATAGCACAACTTTACATCGTCAATGCCTTTAGAAGGCACAGCAGAAATTTTAAGTCGATCCGACTAAATCCCTAGGAGGAGTTTGTTAAAGTACGGAGTCTGTAAATCGTCCAAAAATGGCCGCCAAATTCAAAATAGCGGACCTCCTGTCGAGTTTAGGGTATGGGTTCTTGAGGCTTTTTTGTGCATCTTGATATGATACACGTCCCCACCAAATTTCGTGCATGTAGGTTGAACGTGGAAGAGGGGCTAATTTTTTCCAATTTTCTAGGTGGCGCTAGCGTGCCATTTTGCCCCGCCCATCTGCGAAACCCACAAAATACGAAATTTTTCACCCAGTCCTGACATGCGTGCCAAATTTGGTGAGTTTTTGAGCATGTTGCGGCCCGAAAATGGCACTTACTTTGCAGAAAAAAATAAAAAAAAAAAAAAAAAATTAAAGCTGCAAGCAGCGATGGGCGGGCCCTCGCACCTGTAGCACGTCGGGGTGTGAGGCGGCCGCGTTTCATTTTCTGCAGCTCAGCCAGTGCGGCTGTGCATTTGCCACACTGCTTCGTTAAAGGCCACTTCCTGTTGCCAGCAGGTGGCGCTATGACTGTGGGTGAATGTCGGCATGTAGATTTGATCAGGGCGGGACTCTTGTCAAATGTGTTAAATTTCGTGCAGATCTGGGCATTTACAGCCAAGTTACTACAACTTCCTGTTTCATGGCGAATCATCGACGCCACGGACACGCCCATCGACGAAAACGCGCAGATAGCACAACTTTTCATTGTCAATGCCTTTAGAAGGTACAGCAGAAATTTGAAGGCGATCCGACTAAAGCCCTAGGAGGAGTTAGTTAAAGTACGTAATGAGTAAATCATCCAAAAATGGCGGTAAAATTAGAAATGGCTGACTTCCTGTTGAGTTTAGGGCATCGCTCCAAGAGACTTTTCTGTGCGTCTGGACATGGTAGATGTACCACAGAAATTTCGTACATGTCGGTCAAACATGCGACGGGGCTGCTTCGTTAAATGTCACTTCCTCTTGCCACTAGGTGGCGCTATGAATGTGGGTGAATGTCGGCATGTAGATTTGTTCAGGACGGGACTCTTGTCAAATGTGTAAAATTTCGTGTAGATCTGGGCATTTACAGCCAAGTTACTACAACTTCCTGTTTCATGGCGAATCATCGACGCCACGGACACGCCCATCGACGAAAACGCGCAGATAGCACAACTTTACATCGTCAATGCCTTTAGAAGGTACAGCAGAAATTTGAAGTTGATCTGACTAATTCCCTAGGAGGAGTTCGTTAAAGTACGGAGTGTGTAAATCGTCCCAAATCGGTCGCCGAATTCAAAATGGCGGACTTCCTGTCGAGTTTAGGGTATGGGTTCTTGAGGCTTTTTTGTGCGTCTGGTCATGGTAGATGTACCACAGAAATTTCGTACATGTCGGTCAAACAAGCAGCGGGGGCTGCTTCATTAAAGGTCACTTCCTGTTGCCAGCAGGTGGCGCTATGACTGTGGGTGAATGTCGGCATGTAGATTTGTTCAGGGCGTGACTCTTGTCAAATGTGTAAAATTTCGTGCAGATCTGGGCATTTACAGCCAAGTTAGTACAACTTCCTGTTTCATGGCGAATCTTCGACGCCACGGACACGCCCATCGACGAAAACGCGCAGATAGCACAACTTTACATCGTCAATGCCTTTAGAAGGCACAGCAGAAATTTTAAGTCGATCCGACTAAATCCCTAGGAGGAGTTCGTTAAAGTACGGAGTCTGTAAATCGTCCAAAAATGGCCGCCAAATTCAAAATGGCGGACCTCCTGTCGAGTTTATGGTATGGGTTCTTGAGGCTTTTTTGTGCGTCTTGATATGATACACGTCCCCACCAAATTTCGTGCATGTAGGTTGAACGTGGACGAGGGGCTAATTTTTTCCAATTTTCTAGGTGGCGCTAGCGTGCCATTTTGCCCCGCCCATCTGCGAAACCCACAAAATACGAAATTTTTCACCAGTCCTGACATGCGTGCCAAATTTGGTGAGTTTTTGAGCATGTTGCGGCCCCGAAAATGGCACTTACTTTGCAGAAAAAAGAAAAAAAAAAAAAAAAAAAAAAAAAAAATAACCCTAACAGTTTCAATAGGGTCCTCGCACTGTTAGTGCTCGGGCCCTAAAAATAACCCTAACAGTTTCAATAGGGTCCTCGCACTGTTAGTGCTCGGGCCCTAAAAATAATCCTAACAGTTTCAATAGGGTCCTCGCACTGTTAGTGCTCGGGCCCTAATAACCCTAACAGTTTCAATAGGGTCCTCGCACTGTTAGTGCTCGGGCCCTAAAAATAACCCTAACAGTTCCAATAGGGTCCTCGCACTGTTAGTGCTCGGGCCCTAAAAACACAAAAGAAAGAAACAAATACACGCGCTCAAAATTCACGCTCACACACGCTCCACAAACGCCCACGCATGCGTAATGCGAGAGAGAGAGAGAGAGAGAGAGAGAGAGAGAGAGAGAGAGAGAGAGAATGAAGAAAATAAGAGACTCTTTATTCTGTAAAGTCACATCATCTTCATCAGCAAATAAAACAGAGGAAGAGAGATCTTCACCTTTATTTCACCAGATCACAAAATACTAAGGTGAAAATGTTTGTACAAATATAATGTTAATGTGTTCTAGTTTAAACAGTTGAAGTGATTTTAAGCATTTTGATTCTTGTATGTGAATGTGACTGACCTCAATCTCTCCAGTTTACAGTGTGAATCCTTCAGTACGGCACATAAGTGCTTCACTCCTGAGTCTCCTAGATTATTCCTGCTCAGGTCCAGCTTTCTCAGGTGTGACGGGTTTGATTTCAGAGCTGAAGTCAGGATGAGACTCTGTTTCTCTGTAATACTGCATCTATACAGACTGAAGACAGAGAAATAACAATAGTTCACATCTATGATGATCATCTTATTGAAGAGCTACAGCAGCATTTAGTTTCCAATAGTCTGTTTTAAAACCCAGTCACACTAGTTCTGTGCGCTGGAAGACACTGTTTCTTCTCTTTCATTTCTAACGATTGATTTGTCGTCTCTCTTCTTTATTCTCTGATAAAAATGCAGATTTCTGTGTGTACACAATCAGTGCATTGTATCAGATGTTGGGAATTAAACAATTACTATCTACACTCTAAAGGGTTTTATATGATTTACTAATTTATTTTGGTGAAACAATCAAAAATATTGATTACATTTTAAAGCAGTGAAATCAATTACAATACACTGTATAAACTGAGCAAATGTACGTAAAAAATTAAGTAGATCTGAGTAACTGCATCTGTACATTAACAAATAAAATTTGTTAAATTTTTAACTGATTAAATCTGCTCAATCTTTCAAGAGTGTGTTAAATATATTTATGATATTGATTTGAATTACGTAATATTTGTGGTTCTTGAAACAATTAAAGGCACACTATGCACTCTCTGGTTTTTTTGTAAAACAGTGACCTCTAGAGCCGCTGTGGTGTACTTGCACTGTCGTAAATAACCGTTATTCCCCTGTTACTGCATATACTGTCAAGTGCTAGACTGCTTTTTAATAATAAAGTTGCCTATCGCGTTTGCTGGCTTATAGCGTTTTTACATGATTTCTGCAAAATCAGAAGTAAATAGCCTATAGTGTATAGGCTACTGTATAATTTCATTCATGTTTTTTGATTGTAATGTTAAAATTACAAAATGTCAGATGACATCAATCAAGTTAAATGTACGTCGCATTATTTCATAACATTGGACGTTATGATTTAGACATGATTACAATTTATCATAATAGCAAATTGTGTTCAATTATTTACAACCTCTGGCTTATATATGTCCTAATAATTATGTGAGATATTGACTATGTCCTCATGGTAATCGCAAGAATCAACATCAACAGCGTCAAGATTTGATTGATTCATAATCAACACAATTTGAAGTTACAGTCGGGAAGTGTACTGTTAGTCAGTTAAACTTGATATAACAGTAACTTACACACGTCATAAGAAATCCGAACCAGACACAGGACTAAAGATACGTGATAAATACACATCACAACACCTGAGTTCAGCTGGCAAACTAGCTCTTGTGGCAAGCTCGGCAATAAAACATAACGAAAAAAACAACAAGACTAAGAGAAACGACTGTTTTTAGGAAGTCTGCTTAAAGCTCTGGTAATCGAAAGCTATAGACATATGTGAGAATTATTGAACTGGTCTTATTATCAACAACGGATGAATGAACAGCACCGTAAAAAATTACATACCACAAGCCAGTGCAGCAACATACAATATAGAAACAACTAGTATACAAATACAAACAAGTTTATAAATAAGAGATTTACTTACAAGTCCATCAACAAGATCGCCAGGTCAGCATCGCAGTTACAATCCAGTGCAGCTTTTAAGCTCGCGCCAACGAGTGAAAGCCCGACCGAGTGGACTCTTGTCCGGTTTCTAGCACGGTCCGATTCTCTTTCCCTGTTTCGAAAGTAGCTTCATACAGTATGATGTTGTTGATGCGTGTGACGTCGTTGCCGTAAACCATTTCGTGATTCTCACGCGCTGTGTCAGGGGCGCCACTCTCAAACTTGCATGGCTGGTTTTTCCGGCGGCGTCCCCCCCAAGTTTTCCTACCAGGATGATTCGCCCTACTATGACTTTGTTAACCACCAAAACGACTTTGAAGCTGTTATATTAAGGTACAGATCTTGCATAGAGTGCCTTTAAGTTTAATTATCCAATCTCAAATATTTTGATAGAAATTTCACAATTATGTTAAGTGTATTATACATAAATTATTGGTTAGTCAAATAATAAATTCTAATAGGGAAAAAAATAAATAAATATAACTGTAAATTTTAGATGAAATTAACTGTTGGATTTTTAGTCAATTATTTTGGTACGTTTAGCTCAAACAATCAAGCAAATGATATTCAGAGATTGTATTAAGTTAATAAAGTTAAATATTACTGTGATATTTACTAAGCCACATAATAATTACACACAGTGTAGATTAACAAAACATAAACATGTGAGCAATAGGGAAACCCAGAAAGTGCACTGCTATAACCAATGAAACATAAGCCCTGCTGTCTTCAAATAAATAAACTTCAGTCACACTGTAATTGCTGTACAGTATAATGACACTAACTGTAGTTTCTCCAGCTTGAATTGTGGGTTCATCAGTAGATCACTGAGGTTTTTCACTCCAGAGTCTCCTAGTTTATTCCTGCTCAGGTCCAGCTCTCTCAGGTGTGACGGGTTTGATTTCAGAGCTGAAGTCACATCAGAACAACCTTCATCTGTCATGTAACAGCAGCTTAACCTACATACATTAGCAGAGAGAGAGAGAGAGAGAGAGAGGGAGAGAGAGACTTTGACTTTTTAAAGCAATTTATTCCATCATTAAAAAAACCTTAACATCTATAAAACATTAATTTATCAAAAAATTACCATTTGAAAAAGATGTCTTCGTCTTCTATAAAAGTTAAGCTCTTATTTACACACCATTTCCTCTCAAACATTGGAAGATTACCATTCATTTTATTAAATTCATATTCTAGTCTTATTCTGGATTCAACTAAGGCCCTAAATAAATTAACCATGTTTACTCCTTGTCCTTCTATTTCGCTTCTATGAGCTTTCCAAATGGCTAATTTTGCTTGACCAAACAAAAAATTCAAAAACGTACCGATTTCCCACATATTGCGAGAATACTTACAACCAAAAATAAACACTGTTTTTGAAAAAATTATCCCTAAACTACTCAAAATTCTGTCCAAAACACTAAAAAGTGGAGATAATTTACAACATTCACAAAAAACATGAAAAACTGTGTCAGGATTATTACATAAATTACAAAAAGAAGAATCTGAATATTCACATTTAAACAAAAAAACTTTTGTTGGTAATGCACAATGCAAAATCCGCCACTGTAAATCTCCAGACCTTTTTGGTAGAGGGTTTTTGTACAGTAATCGCCATGAAGGTGATTTATTCTCAGTCAATGAAAGATGAGATCTCCATTTTGTATCTCCCCTCTCTCTTAACTGTCCAGCAAAGAAAGACTTCACACAAACATTGTATAAATTTTGTTTGTTCACAACCGAAAAAGGCAGACCTTGTAAACCTTTAAATTAAAAAAAGCAACAAGTTCGCATTATTGTCATTGTTGTCATCTTGGTCTACCTGTGATGTTATATACAGTACAGGAAAAGGAACTTCTGAAAAATTTGTACCAGACATAAATTTGTCTATATATTCCCACAAAGATGTAGGAAAATGTGTTTTCAAATTCTTCAGTATATTTCCAACAATTCTCTCTGATCTGCCTCCAATCTTTGTAGTTAAATATTGTACTGAAAACCACTCTCTGTTAGTCAAGTCAATCAAATCTCCAACTTTAGTTACACCGGCTACAACAAAGCTAGAAAAATCAATGCAAGACATATTATAAGTATGGGAAAGCCAAGGATTATGAAAAAGTGGTTCATTAAAGCCAAAATGTTCTTTTCGCTCTGACTTGAAATCACTCCAGGCTTCAAACACAGATCCATAAAACTTGATCTTAAACATGTCCTTTACAACATTTGTTCAGAAATATTTGTTTATCCAAACCCATCTTGTTTTTCTCTCGTAGAATGGCAAGACCAAAGCTGATCCATGGTACAGAGTCAGAAGAATAAAGTAGTTTTTGGGCAGTCTGTAACCTCATGGCTTTCACCTTAGAGGCTAAATTAATTAATCCTTGACCGCCTTCAATAACTGGTAGACACAAAACTCCTGGAGGGAGCCAATAATGACCTCCCCAAAAAAAGTCAACAAAGGTTTTTTGAAGTTGCAATAGAAGCTCTTTGGGAGGGTCCAACACTGTTAGACGATGCCACAGCATTGAGGCGGCTAGATTGTTCACTACTAACACTCTGCCTCTGAACGAAAGCTGGGCTTGAATCCATTTCCATCTCTGGAGCTTGCCTGTCACTTTTTCTAAAAGACCTTCCCAATTTTTGTCCATACACTGTTCAGTCCCGAAAAACAGTCCAAGTATCTTTACACCTTCTTTATTCCAAGGGCACTGATGTGGGAGTTGTGGTAAATTCTGATTTAGCCAATGACCTAATAATAAAGTGTCTGTTTTTTCCCAATTGACACATGCCGAAGATGCACTCTCATAGATGTTTAGACATGAGATTAGATGTTTTACATCATCTTCAGATCTAATGATCACTGTGATGTCGTCGGCATAAGCTGTTAGTTTAACTGATGGAGTATTCGAGAGACAAGGTGATGGAACTGTCAATCCTTGCAACTTCTGTCTCAACATCCTCAACATTGGTTCAATGGAAATTGTGTACAAAAGGCCAGATAAACTACAGCCTTGTCTCACTCCCCTATTTACAGAAAAAGGTCTAGTCAGAGTTCCATTAATTTTCAGCATGCTGTAAACGTTTTCATACAGAAGTCTTATCCATGAAGTAAACTGTTTTCCAAATCCAAAGCCTTCGAGTATTCTGAACAGATATTCATGGTCAACTTTATCGAAGGCCTTCTCCTGATCCAAACAAACAAGGCCAAGATCAAACTTATGCAGTTCAGTTAAATACAACAAGTCCCGCACAAGAAAAAGATTGTCAAATATTGACCGCTTTGGTACACAATAGGACTGATCTTCGTGAATAATGAATGCTAAAAAATCCTTGAGACGATTTGTCAGAGCTTTAGACAATATTTTATAATCCGTTCCCAAAAGAGAGACTGGTCGCCAGTTCTTTAATAGGCCAAGATCTCCTTTCTTGGGTAAAAGCGTGATTACAGCTCTTCTGCAACTCAGAGGTAAGATTTTTGATTTAAAACTTTCACAAAAAACAGCATACAGATCCTGTCCGATGAGAGACCAGAAGGCTTTGTAGAAATCAGAAGTCAAACCATCTAGCCCTGGAGATTTTCCAGAGGATTGCTGCTGAACCGCCTCATTTAGCTCGTGGAAAGACAAGGCTTTATCTAATTCAGCTTTATCTTCTTTTTTAAGCTGTGGAAGTCCATCTAAAAGTTGATTTGTTGCTTCAAGGTCACAATGTTGTGCTGTATATAAATCTTCATAAAAAAGTAAAGTCTGTGAAATTATTTCTTTCTTTTCCATTATTTCTTTTCCATCCGGCAATTTAAGATAATTCATATTTTTCTTCTCTCTAGTATTCTTCTCTAATGAGAAAAAGAAGGTTGTTGAGGAATCCATGCTATTTAACTGGAGATACTTTCCCCGTATAGATGCACAGCGACTTCTTTCTTCATATAAATTCTTTAAAATCAAATTGTACTCGTTAAGCATTTTTGCAGTATCAGTCTCTTCACCATCACTGATGGAGCTGCTTAATTGGAGAATTTGCTCTTCCAAGAAACTGACTTTTTCTTTCAGCTCCATCGTACGGCTTCTTGTATATTGCTGACAGAAGAGCTGGATCTGTACTTTTCCAGTATCCCACCACTGGCTTAAATTTTTATACTTTAGCTTTCTCTCTCTCCACTCTCTCCAAAACAAAGTAAAATATTGTACAAAAGACTTATCTTGCAATAACCTATTGTTAAAACGCCAAATATGATGGTGGGAAGTACTTTGCATTGTAGTCATAGTTACCGCAATATAATGATGATCAGAAAATGATGTTGGCAAAATTTTACTATTAAAAAACATACCTCTATTATTCTTTTGAACATAAAATCTATCAAGTCTTGCACCAGAGACTGTATTAGAATTAATTTTCAACCATGTATATTGTCTATCTCTAGGGAAGGCTTCTCTCCAAACGTCTACTAGATTGTGAAACTGAATAACAGTTCTAAGAGTTTCAGACGACTTGAGATTTGGTTCAACATGATTCCGATCCATAGTATAATCAAGAGTACAATTAAAATCGCCAGCTAAAAATATTATTCTATTATTTGGAATTTTTGAAATAGCATCCTTTAATTTTTTGAAAAAAGAAACTCTTTCTATACCATCATTAGGAGCATAAATATTAATAAGAGAAAAAAATAACTCGTTTAACTTAAATTCTACTATTTGCATTCTGCCAGGTATAACTTCTTCAGCTTTGCTATCTTGTACTTGTACATCTGAAGAAATAAGAACTGCTACACCGGCACTAACGTTTGAACCATGGCTAAGGAAAATTTTACCTTTCCACTCACTTAGCCATTGCACCTGATTAATCAAATCTGTGTGTGTTTCTTGCAGAAAGACTATACCCGATTTTTTCCAATGAAAAAAATCAAACAAAGCACCCCTTTTTTCAGCACCGCCATTTACATTCAAAGATCCAAAGTGTAAGGATGCCATGATGCTGACTATAAATAAAGAAACAAATAGCATCCGACTGCAGGCTATACATTCTTTTCTCTTCATTTAAAGAAAAGAAAAGCATATTCAAACCTTTTTTACATTACGGTTTACTATGTTTTTAACCTTCGTTATTATTTTCTTAAGGCGATAACGCTTCTGTCTACTTAGTTCTTCAAAGGTTGCTTTTTTCATTGCTATTTTACATGACACCAGAAATTGTTTCAAATCAGGAAAAAAAGTCTCTATTTGTGGTTTGCGTGTTCCCTTAGTATCATCTAGAAAATCATTGATTTGCTTTACTGTGTATAATCTAGAGCCAAGCGACTCAGATCTTTCAGCATCATCCATATCAGAAAGATCTACACTCTCAAGCTCCTGATCTGAATCCTCTTCAGAGATAGCATATCCTGAGCTCACAGTGGACATCTGGGTACAGCTTTCTTCTTCAGCTTCCCCTCTTTCACCTTCTGCTTTATCCTCCTCTATAACTGTTTTCTCTTTTCTTGATTCCTTGTCTTCTTCATTTACAGTCAGAGTGACTTTTTCTCTACTTGCTAGATTTACAATCTCCTCACCGGTCACATGATTTTCTACATCATTTATTAAGCCTACATCAGTGTTTTCTTTTGGTGCTGTTTCATCAGCAGGAACCAAAACATTATCCTGTCCCAACTGTTGATCAACTATTATGTTTTCTTTCGGTGCTGTTTCAACAGCAGTAGCCAAAACATTATTTTGTTCATCATGTCGATCAACTATTGTGTTTTCTCTAGGTGCTGTTTTGACAGCAGGAACCAAAACAATGTTTTGTCCAACATGCTGATCAACTATTTGCGGATTAGATGAC